CAGGGTCTGAGTTGGCAAATAGTGAGAGTCGTGATTTAATGAGAATACCAGGTCCTAGTTTCTGGTCTGAGCAGGTTTGGTTATTTGGTCTAACTCTTCTGCTGAAAATGCTAATCAAAATGAAATTTTAAAATCATCTCAAATATACTGAAGAGCTAAAATGATGATGGGGAACTCCAAGGGCAATTTTCAGATGGAATCCCGCAAGAGTTGGAAAAGCAGAATGTCGGAGTACCAGTGCTACTGTTCCTGAGGGCATTTTCCTGTCCCACAGCTGTACCCTAGGCCCAGGGTCTAGGGCAGTGGTTCTCAGCCTTCCTAATGCCGCAACCCTTTAATACAGTTCCTTATATTGTGGTGACCCCCAACCATAAAATTATTTCGTAGCTACTTCATAACTGTAATTTTGCTACTATTATGAATCGTAGTGTAAATATCTGATATGCAGGATGTATTTTCAGTTACAAATGGAACATAATTAAAGCATAGTGATTAATCACAAAAACAATATGTAATTATATATGTGTTTTCCGATGGTCTTAGGCGACCCCTGTGAAAGAACCGCTGGTCTAGGGTAATACTTTGAACAATAAAGATATTTTTTTTAAAAAAGTGACATAGTAGATTTGTTTGAAAGTCCCAAACAAAACTACTAGATTAAAATTTTAAACTCACTATTTAGTAATACATTGGACATAGCAGAAGAGAGAATTAGTGAACTGAAAGATAGATTGAGTTAGAGCAGTCTGACTTTAGAACAATAAAGATAAATTTTTTTTAAAGTCACAGAAGTTTAAAAAAATTGTTTTAAAGAAAAAAGTCACAGAAATTTTTAAAAAAGAAAAAGAAAGAACCCTTGTTTAAACAGTGTGCACTGCCACTGACACAGGGATCTTGTTGATTTAAAAAAAATCCCCATAGTTTTATACATATTTTGATTACAGACTAATGTAAAGTATTTGTGCATACTTTCTTAATTTTCTGAGTAGCCTAACAGAACAGAAATTCCTGTATCAAAAGAGATAAGGGGTGCTTTTGGCAAGTAAACCCCTAGGTTATTGTGTTGCAAAGACAATTCTGGAATGAGTTAAGTAAATATGGGTCATGGGTAAATGCCAAGTCACAGAAGGTAGCTGGACGACGTGGGGTATGCATGCCAGCTTGGAGCCACTGCCCTTTAAGATCCTCTAGAAACTGCTTTTTATCTCATCACCATTCCTTACTGTTATTAGTAAGAACAGACCAGGGTTTTTTCACTCCTGTACTTAAACTTCAGTACAGAGGCACTTCCGATGAGAGTTGTGTTTTTCCTGTACTTAGCTTTCCACAGTGGTGACAGCTGTCATGTCAGAAAGTAACCCAGCTTTGGCTTTTTAACTGCAAAGTGTCCATCACTGATCTTCTCTCAGTAGTGTGCTACCTGGCGGTTAGGTTTGTTTTGCTTTAAAGCGGGGAGGACAGACAGAGCAGGCCACCTTGGCTTCAAGTGTGAGAACAGCTTTGAATTTTCCAACCTCAGGCCATCAGGTCCTGGTTTCATAATCCAGAATGTGTTGAGTTTATCTTGTACTGTGTCAGTTTCAGGGGCCTCAGCATGTTGCCCAGTCCCTACCCACTCTATGAATTCTCTGGGATAGACCCGAAGAGCTGATTATGCTGAGCATTCACTCTTAAGTGCTGCATCACAACAGTAATATTGTTTTGTTAGCTTGTTGTAAGAATAATGTCTTCAATGAGAGGTTGTCAGAATCTTGTCCTTAGGAGTTCTCTTATTTTCCACCTGATATTTGTGACCATTATCACTTTTTCTTTATTTTTTCTAATCCCTGCCCGAGGATATATTTTTATTGATTTGAGAGAAAGAGAGAGAGAAACATCAATGTAAGAGACAAACATTGATTGGTTGCCTCCCACAGCACCCTGACCAGGGATTGAACCCGCAACATGGGTGTGCCCTGACTGAGAATCAAATCCACGACCTTTTGGTGTATGGGACAGACAAAGTTCCAACCAACTGAGCCACACCAGCCAGGACCTATATTTTATTTTTTAATTTTTCTATGCTTTATTTTCAGCTAACAGTTTGCATTTGTTTGGTAGTTCAGTGGGTAAATATATGAATATATTTAATATTATTCTGCCAAAACATTTTGTATGTGGGTTCCACTCTTATTTGTTTTGTCTGTACTCTACATGACAGACTAATTACAGACTGTTATATAGTGACAACTGTCAGCTAGTGGAATGAAGGAAGGAAAGGAAGAAGAGACAGGGAGGAAGACAACATTTGGTTATTCTTTAACAATTCTAGAGGATTTTAGGACTTTTATCTTTTGCTGTGAGTTCTTGATGGACATGAATGGCAATATGTGGGGAAGTGACATTAGTAGAACCCTTCAGGGGACATGATAATTATTTCATGCTTAAGACCAAATGTGCAGTAAGCATGTATTGCATGCCTTCAGTCAGCACACATTGATTGCACACCCAGGTATGTGCCAGGCATTACACTAGGTATGAGATGAATAATACACTCTCTTTGCCTCTAAAGAAAAACAGACTAGCAAATGGATGGTTATAACACAGTGCAACAAATTAATATTAAAGTTATGAACAACTTTTTAATGATGTACAGAGGCAGGAATTTGTAATTCTCCCTGAAGGGTAGAGGAAGTGTTTGCCAAAAACAGTGGCCCTTGAATTGGGCCCATATGAGAAACATTCAGTAAGCAAAGAAGAGGAAGGTAGGTCATTGCTTCTGCAGGGAACATGAAAATATTTAGTGACTGAGCTGAGTGTATCAAAGAATCACCCAGAGAAATTATTTTTTAAAATGAAGATCCCCAGAGCCACCCCAGAGATTCAGATTCAAGAGGTTCATTTGTAATAAGCACCTCGGGCAGTTCTATGATGGCTAGTCTGAAGACTGCATTTTGAGAAATGGCTGACTAGTTCCAGACTAGTGTGTGGCTCTTGTGACTCCTGGTTCAGGGGGCAGTTTGACACACTGAAAAGAACACCGCTGTGTGTGAATCCTGGCTGTGTCCTGAATAATACACTTAATGCTAATCCATAGCTCTAGACTTTGGTAAGTCACTCAATCTTACTAAGCCTGTTTTTACATCTGCAAAATAAAGGCAATATATTTAACTTTGCAAGACTGTTATGCAGTATAGAGTATGCAAAGTATCTAGCTCAGTGTCTGGCTCATACTAGGTGTCACTAAATGATAGCTATTACTATCCTTATATAGTGGCTGCCAACTAAACCACTCTGTGCCCCACTTTCTCAGTCGTTAAAAAGAGAGGATAATAGTACCAATCTAATATGGATACTTACATATCTGATATAAGACACACATGAAAAGCACTTAAAACAATGCCTGTCACATAGAAATTATTTAATAAATGCACAATGGTATTGTTGATATTGATGATGATGATTATGAAGAAGAAGATGATGAAGATGGTGGTATTACCCCTGTAACTAGCTGGCCAGTTCCATATGAATACATCCTAGTACCTATTGAAATAGCAAGACTTGGATAATGGGCTCATTCATGTGTGAACAAGAAACTTGAGAAATGATGGTGTGGGGGATTAGAACATGAAGGAAAAAGTATTAGGGCGGTGGAATGACCATGTCTATTAGCAGCTGGGATAAATGGTCACATGATACTTGGCCCTTGGGAAGAATTATTCTTGGTAGGAAGGGGGTTTTACAAATTAAAGAAATAAATAAAGGAAGGGAAATAAGACAATCCATCTTGTACCTCAGGGCAGGGCTTTATGTAATTTTATGGAAAGTGGTCCCGGGAGAAAGCAGTACGTGCCTTGAGGTAGCCTGGTAGGTGGGAGTGGGAAGGCAGTTACAAAGTTCTAGGTTCCTGCTAAGACAACTCACCTGAGAACATCAGGCCCACATCGTCCACACCCTGGGTGTATCTCCTGCTGGTGAGTGGTGGATGCCCACTTCCTCCATCTCCAGTGGACCAGGCTGACCCTGACCCCATTTACTCTTAAGGACGTGTATGGGCTCTCCTGAAGGATGATGACTATGGTGACTGCTGGAAACTCCAGGCATGGTACAAAGAATATAATGTCCTGGGAGCCAAGAGATGTGGGTTATGGTCCCAGCCCTGCCCTGCTTAGTTCTGAAACCTTATTAAGCAACCATTCCACCTCTGTCAGACATTCATTTGTTCCTGTGTTCATTCAAAAGACCTCTGTGAAGTACCCTACTGCATGGCAAACCCTGGAGGCACAGAGAGACCAGGCAGGCAGCACCCACTTCAGTATGAAATCCTTCTATTGAGGTAGAGACTGTGCGTGTACTGGCTTTTTAGACCAGGTACTTGCTACATATCTTGGAGGACCTCCAGTCCCAAATGGACCTTTCAGACAGTTCATTCATTCATTTCAACAGAAACCCTGATACACAGAATAAAATGTTGAACAGGTGAATCTGGGCAAAGGAAATTTGGATGATCTTTATCCTCGTCTTAATCTTTCAACTTTTCTAAAGTTTAAAAGTATTTCCAAATAAAAAGATTTAAAAAAATAATATGAAATAATTTCTAGTGATCCAGACCTCTCTCTCAAAGCAAATAAATGATAGCATATAATGCATAATGTGTCACTCCACAACTAAGACCACTAGCTCTGGAGGGAGAGGGCCTGGGTTCAAGTCTCAGTTCATTTCCCAGCTTAGGATTTTGCCTAAATGATTTCACTCATCTGAATCTGCACTTTCTTCACCTGTAAAATAAAGTTTCCATCACAGGGACTTTGTGAGGATTCAGTAAGATTGTAATTATATATAAGCTATATAATTTCTAGATCTTATCTACATAATACACATATGCATATAAAATTGCTTTGTTCTTTATAAAGTGCTGTGCAAAGGTAGCAGGCTCTCTGCCTCAGCTGAGCTTGTGGTATTGTATGTGATCTCTGGAGTAGCTTACATCAACTCACAAGCTCCCTTCTCTTTTCTTACAGCCGGAAAGAATTTCTGGGGAGCAGTATGGAATCCATTCTGATGTCTGGAGCTTAGGAATCTCTTTCATGGAGGTATGGTGTTTTTTATAAATAGATGTTTCTATGTATATTCGTAGTAATATTTTCTATCAGGAAGAATGAAGATTTTGGGGGGAAAAATTAAATCTCCAGTGTGTTATGTATACATATGTATATACAGTGTTTAAAGTTATTATTTTGATATCCTTGCATGGCTTTCGAACCAGCTATTTCTCACAGGTCACCTTGTAAAAGTTAACCTAGAGTGCTTCTTAAAAATGCAACTTCCAGACTCCATCCAAGACCAGTCCATACTGCAAAGAATCTGCATCGTTAGCATGTTCCCTGGGTGATCCTTATGTACACAAACACAGAGAACCTGTGTTCTAAAAGACAGTTTACAAGGGTGGGGGAAAAAGGAGACATATGTAATACCCTTTGTAATACTTTAAGCTATAAAACAATAAAAAAAATTTCTATAATAAAAAACTTATTACCTATGAAATAAATTTAATTTAAAAATCATAAAGGTGGCCCTAGCTGGTTTGGCTCAGTGGATAGAGTGTCGGCCTGTGGACTCAAGGGTCCCAGGTTCGATTCCGGTCAAGGGCATGCACCTTGGTTGCGGGCACATCCCCAGTAGGGAGTGTGCAGGAGGCAGCTGATCAATGTTTCTCTCTCATCGATGTTTCTAATTCTCTATCCCTCTCCCTTCCTCTCTGTAAAAAATCAATAAAATATATTTTAAAAAAATAAAATAAAAGACAGTTCAGAAAAATTCTGGTTGGAATGCATGTATCACTTCCAAAGATGATTACTTTAAAGAGTACAGCCCTACTCATTTGTATGTATAAGTTCTATGTGTTTGTTTAGAAAGAAAAAAGTCACCTTGTTCCAATGTAGTCATATCACATGTTGGGGCATGGGGTGTGATATCATCTGGGGGGAGGGTAAGGTGTATGTATTTAACACAATTTAATGCTTCTACTCTTTATAAATATATTTAGAATGGACTTTATCTTAGTGGACTATTTGAAGCCCCACTAGATCTCTGTGCTAAAATTTCTATATCATCCCTTGATCTACAAGGAAATGCATATGATTTATATTAGAAGAACATCTGGGTCTGAGTTATAGTATTGTAGAGTCTGGACACTCATAAGTGCTTCAAAAATAGTTTCTCACATACTTTGATTCAGATAAAAGAGGACTTTTTTAAAACTATAAAGCACTCCCTAAATAAGATCATGGATAGAGTTGCATTCATGCTTTTATCACCTTTTTTTTGGTCAAGTACTTTTTGTATGATTTTTGTAACGTATGAATGCAACTGGATTTGTAAGGAAATATCTTCAGACTGAATTCACCTGCACTGAGGAAAGAAAGCAAAAATAAAGTATTCAGTGTTTATTAAACCATATTCTCTACTTCTTCATAAAAAGGGCCTCCAAGAGGAAATGCAATATGTGTGCATCAGCTTATTGGTTAGCCGTAATGGTGGACAGACACTCAAAACTGAGTCTCTCAATAGAATTCTGAAGGGATTGTTCAATTAGCCTGTGTCAGGGGAAACTAGTACTTTTGATTTGTGAGGCTCAGGCCTTGCTGTTGCATAATTTTCCTTCAAATTGTTGTCATTGAATGTATTCAGTAAGTGACCAGATAAACTGTAGAACATTTGTAAAGTTGTGCGGTGTAGAGATAAGAACCCTAGATTGGGTATGAAAGACCTAGACTACAGTTCCAACTTGGCTACTGGCTTTCTTTTTTTTAAAATATATTTTATTGATTTTTTACAGAGAGGAAGGGAAAGGGATAGAGAGTCAGAAACATCGATGAGAGAGAAACATCGATCAGCTGCCTCCTGCACACTCCCCACTGGGGATGTGCCCGCAACCAAGGTACATGCCCTTGACCGGAATCGAACCTGGGACCCTTGAGTCCGCAGGCCGATGCTCTATCCACTGAGCAAAACCGGTTGGGCGGCTACTGGCTTTCTAGGTGGCCCTCTGCGAGCCTCACTTGGGGTTTCAGCTTATTCATCTGTAAAGTAGTGACCTCTAAGCCCCTTTCCAGACTAACATTCAATGACTCTAAGCAGTCTGCTGTTGTCTCTCTTTAACTTCCTGCGACAACTCTAGAGTTGTATGACTTAGTGGTATATCCTAGCTTGGCATAATTTGCAGAGGCATAGCAATACTGTGAGAAAGCATAACTAACAGATTTAAGATTTTGAGCCCATATAAGTATTCACCATCCATTCCTTCCACATTTATTTTTTCATTCATATATCGAGGTCTTGCTATGCCTGCTGGTAAGCATTGGGGATATAGCAGTGAAAGGAGACTCCAGTCTCTACTCTCATGGAGTTGCATTTGGTGAGGGGTGGGGTATGAGGAGAAATAAAAGAGAATTATAACTAAAGATATAATTTGTCAGGTGACGATAAGTCCTGTGTTTTATACCAAATTCATTTGGGGTACAAGATAATGAAAAATATGTGATAGGGAAGGGGAGTAGGAGGTTTTGAGTTCATAAATGAGTAATTGTGGGCAATTCAATAATGAACAGAACTCCAGGGTTCTTTGGGGGCAGATGAGATGAGAACATGACCTGAAGAGTTTGGAAAGTTAATCCAAAAGAAGCACTTGAAGGTCAAGGTTCTTTTTTCACCACAGTATGCTTGGAGTAGACGTGATAAATCTTATTTAAAATCACTATAGATAGAGAGAAGTGTGAATCTCAGTAGCACTTTAAAATTCTGAGTGATTGTGTTCTGAAATAGTTGACCTCTTCTAAGAATTGCTTCTCTTCTGTTTATCCTCACTTTCTATGTTTACACTCTGAAGAATAGAAAGTTTCATTTCCTCGATAATTATTATTTTAGCACTGATCATGTGCTAGGCCTTGGAGAGTGGGACATACAAAGCTGACAAAAGCCTGCCTCTGCTGGAGAAGACAACCGCCTGACACCCAGAACAGTGTCACAAGGTCTTCAGGGAAATGTTTATGAAGGCCTCAGTCACAGGGGGTGGGTGGTGAGGTGGTTCCCAAAGGAGTTGACAGTTGAGCTGGGTTGGTCTTGGAGGGAGATTGCCACTGGGAGCAAGAAGGAAAAGGTGGAGGAGCCCTGCCCACCCCAGCACACTCTAAGGTGGTCCTCTGTAAACGCTTTAGGAGAGTTCCCTTGTCAAAATAAGCAGGTCTCAGCTGGGCCACTCCACTACTTCTGTGTGGATACCTTCCTCCAACTGTTTTGAGTCAGTCAGTTTATTCCTCCAGGGCGTGAGGGGTAAAGAAACAAAAGGGATAAAAACTATGGGAAGCTGAGCAAAGGAATTTTCCTGAAATTACACAAGAATCAGAGCGATACAAAATGGAAACTAGTTTTCTCCCTCCACCTAGCACCCCCACCAGCCCCAACCCCCACAATTCCATAAGCTCTTGACCCCTCCCTGATGCAGGAATCAGAAGGTTGCCTTCCTTGTTTTAAACTCCTAACATAACGAGCTTCACCCCTGCTTGCCGGCTTCATACTGCCCCTTGTTAATGTGCTGCCACTGTCCCCATGGGGAGTCATAACAAGGCCTCTCGCCACACTCTTTCGTAAAAGATGCTATATGCCGCTAAAATGTGCCATATAAAAAGCCACAGACAGGTACATTTGTGCCTTAAGCAAAGAATCTTTAATATCAGACTATCTTTTATCTAGGAACAGAACTGCCCCGTCTCCGCAGCTCAGCGTCCCTCTGTTCCTGGGATAAAGTGGGTCTCTTCCAGAATTGAGTCAGCTGTATGCAATGTTTGAAGTTGGCAGAAGTAATATAAAGATGGAAATTACCCTTAAGAAGGGAAAAATGAGATTATTCAACTTGACTAGAGCATGGCAGTTTTACTAGATGGGAAGAATTTGGCCCCTTTCTGTGTTTTTGGCTTATGGTTTCCAACTCAGATCTTTAAATGTGTTGTAGTTCTCCTTGTGTGGATTAGTTATGGAACCAAATAAAGGCCATTGCCAGCCCTAGCCAGTTTTGCTTAGTGGGTAGAGCGTCAGCCTGTGGACTGAAGGGTTGCAGGTTTGATTCTGGTCAAGGACATACGTCAGTTGCAGGCTTGATCCCCGGCCTCAGGAGGCAACCAATCGATGCGTCTCTGTCACATCGATGTTTCTCTCTCTCTCTTTCTGTCTCTCCCCCTTCCTTCCACTCTCTCTAAAAATCAATGGGAAAATATCCTTGGGTGAGGATTAACAAAAAATAAAATAAAGGTCATTGCCATATATGGGGTTTAGTGGGCTCACTTGGTAACGGGGAAAAGAACCCAGGTGGGCTTGCACCTTTTCCTTGAACCTTTCTGACAGGAATTCGTGTGGCAATGCAAAAGAAAGAAGAAAAGAAAAAAGAAGCAAGACCCCCCTAGCAAGGGTACAAGATTCCTGAACTAGGACAAACTGGGAGCATTAATCCTACCCCCAAAATATCTGTTTGGCTCTTCTAGAAAGCTCGCAGTGATTCAGTTGACTGGGTCTATTCACCCTGCTGGTTGCTACTCAAGACTTCAGAGCTATACTTTAAAATGAAAATGAGTTTGTTACATAATAAGGACTTTGTTTTACCAAGTTTGATGATTTTATTTAATCCTTAAGGGTGAGGAGAACCTAAAACATTTTAGGGCACATTTTTTAAATTTTACAGGCAGCTCAGTACTTCTATCTTTTCCCACATAGAGGCTTGAGGACAGTCCCACTGTTGTTGTTCACTAATTAGTTATTCCCTGTATATTGTTGTCTCATTTGCATCATAGCCATATTTGCAAAAGCTGGATTTTTAGTTGCCCCTTCTTGGGTAAAAAATAAGTAAACATATACCTTTTCTAGCTTTGCATCTGCAGCACCCAGGACGATGCATATACATTTAAAAAGGCACCAGGCCAGTCCCATAGTGTTACTCTCACTGGGTATGCTCTGCAAGTCCATGTTCTGGTTTGTGATTCTTTCTGGTGGGTTATTATAAACCCTGTTAAGATGGAATAATCTTTTGACAGGCTTTTCCGCA